TCCTCATTTTTTCACCCTGAATGTTTTTCCCCCAGGCATCTGAATCACTAAAGAAATACATGTTTAGGGCTGGGAGTGGCAGCTCACGCCTACAATCCCAGCACTTTGGGAAGCCAAGGCAGGAGGATCACCTGAGGTTGGGAGTTTGAGACCAGCCTGACCAACATGCAGAAACCCCCGTCTCTACTAAAAATACAAAATTAACCAGGTGTGGTGGTACGTGCCTATACTCCCAGCTACTCAGGAGGCTGAGGCAGGAGAATCGTTTGAACATGGGAGGCAGAGGCTGCAGGGAGCTAAGATCGTGCCATTGCACTCCAGCCTGGGCAACATCAGAGAAACTCCACCTCAAAAAAAAGAAAAAAAGAAAAGAAAAAAAAAGAGAGAAGTACACACTTAGGCTAGGCACGGTAGCTCACGCCTGCAATCCCAGCACTTTGGGAGGCCGAGGCGGGTGGATCACCTGAGGTCAGGAGTTTGAGACCAGCCTGGCCAACATGGTGTAACCCTGTCTCTAATAATAATACAAAAATTGGCCGGGCGTGGTGGTGCATACCTGTAATCCCAGCTACTCATGAGGCTGAGGCAGGAGAATCACTTGAACCCAGCAGGTGGAGGCTGCATGCAGTGAGCCAAGATTGCCCCACTGCACTTCAGCCTGGGTGACAGGAGCAAAACTCTATCTCCAAAAAAAGTTTAAAAACTGTTCCCTCCTACTCTGCGCTGGCCCCTCTTTAGCCTCTCCTCTCCCCCATTTCAAGGCCTTGATAAAAGCATCATTAACAATTTGGTGTGAAGCCTCTGAAAATGTTAAAGAAAGACACAAAGATATATAGGATTTTACATGTTATGGCTTTTCTTTTAAACAAAAAATGGGGTGGCCACGCATGGTGGTTCATGCCTGTAGTCCCAGCACTTTGGGAGGCCGAGGTGGGCAGATCACCTGAGGTCTGGAGCTCGAGACCAGCCTGGCCAACATTGTGAAACCCCATCTCTATTAAAAATACAAAAATTAGTCGGGCTTGGTGGCAGGTGCCTGTAATCCCAGCTACTCGGGAGGCTGAGGCTGGAGAATTGCTTGAACCCGGGAGGCGGGAGGCTGCAGTGAGCTGAGATTGCACCATTGCACTCCAGCCTGGGCAACGAAAGTGAAATTCTGTCTCAAAAAAAAAAAAAAAAAAAAAGATACATATAGTCAGTAGACAGAATAAGGCACATTAAATTATATTTTGAAATCCTATCAATCAGTGGATACATAAATACATAATAATGGATATAAGAATAAAATGTTGCAATAATAAACACAGACTGAGAAAGACTAATTTTAGTATAAAGGCTGGGCATGGGGGCTCACACCTGTAATCCCAGCACTTTGGGAGCCTGAGGAGGGCAGATCACCTGAGGTCAGGAGATCAAGACCAATCTGATCAACATGGAGAAATCCCATCTCTACTATAAATACAAAAAATTGGCCTGGTGCGGTGGCTCATGCCTGTAATCCCAGCACTTTGGGAGGCCAAGGTGGGCAGATCACAAGGTCAGGAGATCGAGACCATCCTGGCTATTATGGTGAAACCCCATCTCTACTAAAAATAAAAAAATCAGCCAGGCATGGTGGCAGGCACCTGTAGTCCCAGCTACTAGGGAGGCTAAGGCAGGAGAATGGCGTAAACCCGGGAGGCGGGGCTTACAGTGAGTGGAGATGGAGGCACTGCACTCCAGCCTGGGTGACAGAGTGAGACTCTCTCTCAAAAAGAAAAAAACTAGCTGGGCATGGTAGTGCATGCCTGTAATCCAAGCTACTTGGGAGGCTGAGACAGGAGAATCACTTGAACCCGGGAGGCAGAGGTTGCAGTGAGCCGAGATCGTGCCATGGCACTCCAGCCTGGGCAACAAGAGTGAAACTCTGTCTCAAAAAAAAAAAAAAAAAAATTAGTATTAAAAAAATTACTGGGCCGGGCACAGTGGCTCAAGCCTGTAATCCCAGCACTTTGGGAGGCCGAGACGGATGGATCACGAGGTCAGGAGATCGAGACCATCCTGGCTAACACAGTGAAACCCCGTCTCTACTAAAAAAAACACAAAAAACTAGCCAGGCGAGGTGGCGGGCACCTGTAGTCCCAGCTACTCGGGAGGCTGAGGCAGGAGAATGGCGTAAACCCGGGAGGCAGAGCTTGCAGTGAGCTGAGATCCGGCCACTGCACCCCAGCCTGGGCGACAGAGCAAGACTCAATCTCAAAAAAAAAAAAAAAAAAAAAAAAAAAAAAAAAAAAAAAAATTACTGAGCCAGGTAGCTCATGTCTTTAATCCCAGCACTTTGGGAGGCAAAGGCAGGTGGATCACCTGAGGTGAGGAGTTTGAGACCAGCCTAGCCAACGTGGCGAAACCTCGTTTCTACTAAAAATACAAAAAATTAGCCAGAAGTGATGGCACACTCCTGTAATCCCAGCTACTTGGGAGGCTGAGACATGAGAATTGCTTGAACCCGGGAGGCGGATGTTACAATAAGCCAAGATGGCACCACTGCACTGTAGCCTGGGCGACAGAGTGGGATTCAAAACAAAACTAAACAAAATGACTATTGGCCAGGCACAGTGGCTCATGCCTGTAATCCCAACACTTTAGGAGGCCAAGGCAGAAGGATCACTTGAGCCCTGGAGTTCGAGATGAGAGACTAGCCTGGACAACACAGCAAGATACTGTCTCTACTTAAAAAACAAAACAAAAACCCCCCAACAATCTACAAACATATATAAAGTGATGTTTAACCTTATTAGTTATCAAAGAACTGTGTAAACTGACAGTACTCATTTTTTTCACCACTCGTTCTCTTCTAATATACTTAAAATGAATTCCATTCCAATCTCTTCTCCAAAACATCTCTCACCAGGCCACCAGTGCTTCCCTGTCACTGAATCTAAATGACATTTTTCAGCCTTGTTTTACTAAGTGTCAAAGGCAGAACTTGAGAAGTTGTCTTCAGACTCTAAATCCAAAGAAATGTATTCTCTACCAAGCTGGTGATTTGCTTATCTGTAAATTATTTCTCATATCTCCTTGCTAGCTTTGTCCTTGCTCTTAGGATCTTATACTTTTTTTTTTTTTTTAAAGGTCTATTATGCTTTTATATATAATGTCAGATTAAGTGGTTCTGCAGCAGCTTGCTAAATGGAGAAAAAAGTCCTGTCATTACTAACGAAGAACACTGTGATCTCTATCCCACTGGTCTTATGAAAGATAATAAATGTTTTCTCCCTAATATCTATTTATGTACTTTAAAAAGACTTTTATTGATAAATAATACATGATACACTTTCATGGGCAGAGAAAATTCCTAATGGGCCAATTACATCCAAGTCAATTTATATATTTTAGGATACCAAGTTCAGTCTAATGTCAATGAGGGTGTGTGTGGCCAGGGTAGCACAAGACAAGGATTTGGGAATAAGAGAAAAACAAACATGGGAATAAGTTTACGGAGATTATTTTTTTGGGGGGTAGGGGCATGGAGTCTTGCTCCGTCACCCAGGCTGTAGTGCAGTGGCATGATCTAGGCTCACTGCAACTTCTACTTCCTGGGTTCAAGTGACTCTTGTGCCTCAGCCTCCCAAGGAACTGGGATAGGCACCCAACACCACGCCCAGCTAATTTTTATATTTTTAGTAGAGACGGGGTTTCACCATGTTGGCCAGGCTGAAACTCCTGACCTCAAGTGATCCTCCTGCCTTGGCCTCCCAAAGTGCTAGGATTACAGGCGTGAGCCACTGCAGAGGCCAGTTTACTGAGGTTTTTAGAAGAATGAATTTTAATATTGTCATCTTCAGTAACAAGAAATGTGGCACATTTTTCTCAAAAATGCAGTAATTACAAAAATCTGCTCCATTCCTTTCTACTCCTGTGTTAGCCCAGGTTCTGACTTCTCCCTTTTTATTAGGGTAAAACAAGGAGAGGTTCCCTTGATACCAGTCTCTACTTTCCAAATGAGCCTGCATACTATGTGGTGTTGGGTAGAATTATCTTTTTAAAAAAAAAAAAAAAAAAGCACAGCTGTGATCATTTTGCTCTTCTGCATAAACACCCTTGATGAATCCCCACATTTACAGTACACATAAAAAAGCCTCAAAATGTCTTAACAAGGCATTTAAAGTCTTATATTACCAGATATTGATATATCTTTCTAAGTTTATTCTCTGACCATAAAGGGCATACTGGGGAATTTGGAATCTTGGGGGAACCAGCATATATTCGAGTGACAATATGCAGAATGGACCTGAGAAGGAAGAAAGTTGACAAGTAATTTGAATGCCACAAAGTGAAAGTGAAGCAAGTTTGCAACTATTTCAGTAGAGAAAGAAGGCCATTATTCAGGAGATGCTTCTAAGGCAGATGGAACAGACAGTGATATCAGATAGAATATAAGTAGTGAGGAAGAAAACAGAATTAAGGATAACACCCAGATTTTTAGCTTGAGAAACTGCTGAACCATTAACCAGAGCATGTTTCAAAGGCAAGGAAGGCAGGGCAGGCTGGGTGCGATGCCTCATGCCTGTAATCTCAGCACTTTGGGAGGCTGAGGCAGGCAGATCACCTGAGGTCAGGAATTTGAGACCAGCCTTGCCAACATGGTGAAACCCTGTCTCTACTAAAAATACAGTATTAGCTGGGCGTGGTGGTACGTGCCTGTAGTTCCAGCTACTTGGGAGGCTGCAGCAGGAGAATCGCTTGAACCTAGGAGGCGGAGGTTGCAGTGAGCCAAGATTGCACCACTGCACTCCAGCCTGGGTGACAGAGCAAGACTCCATCTCAAAAAAAAAAAGAAAAAAAGAAAGAAAGAAAGAGAAAGGAAGGGCAGGGCAGGGCAGGCACAGTGGCTAACACTTGTAATTCCAGCACTTTGGGAGGCTGAGGTAGGAGTATCACTTGATGCCAGGATTTCAAGACCAGCCTAGGCAACACAGGGAGACTCCAATTCTACAGAAAAAAATTTTTAAATGAGGTGGGTGCTCACTTTGGCAGCACATATACTAAAATTGAAATGATAGAGAGTAGCATGGCCCCTGCACAGGAATGACTTGCAAATTTGTGAAGTGTTCCATAAAAAAGAAAAAGAAAAAAAGAATAAAAATAAAAATAAAAATTAGCTGGGTGCAGCGTCACACACCTGCAGTCCTAGTTATTCTGGAGGCTGAGAGGATTTGAGCTCAGGAGCTCAAGGTTACAGTAAGCTATGATCACACCACTGCACTCCAGCCTGGGTGACAGAGTGAGACCCTGCTGGGGGGGGAGTGGGCAGGGGCAGTAGGGGAGGAACGTGTGTAGTAGGTGACCAATTGAAATTAACATGTGCTTCATGTAAGATGTCTACATGGTACCATTGTACCTTAGGCAGTCAGAGGTAAGGATCTGGAAATCACTGACTCAGGCTTAATAATTAAAAGTCAAGGTGGTGGAGAACCTCACTGTTAAAGATCAGAGGACCAGGAGGACCAAGGTTTAAATGACCTTCACGCATTCCCCAACGCTACTGATTTTGCCTGAAACTAACTGTGTATCTATTGTGTCACAATCTCCAGAGTGTAAGTTTTCTGGAGAACATGAAATCAAGAACCCTGGGTGTTTTAGGAGGGAAAAGACCACTGTATTAGTTCAGGTCTCCGGAGAGGTGGTCAGAAAACCATGAGCCGGTGCTCAGTATATAACCATTTAATTGTGTTTTTCATCTTCTTTAAAGACAACTCATGATGAGAATCAAGGGATTCAGGTGAACTGGCATTTCCAGCAGGTTTAAACAAAAGTATATCCCTCCCCCAACTTGTTTTCCAAGTTTATTGTATTTCCACTATAAAATGATTTCAAGTCCTTTACACTTATTTGAAAACAAAACTCATACACAGGAAAAAATTAAGAAGAGTTAACGAAAAAACATTCATCCAAAAAAAATTACTACATCCCTCTAGACTCTTCTATGCATAGTTTGGCTGTCAAACTTTTTCAGTCACACTGTGCAACTTTGTATCACGGTTTTTTCACTTAACATTATATATTAGCATTTCCCTATGTTATTTAAAAGTTTTATAAATTAGTTTTAGAGGCCACTTCACATACACTCAGTGAAGTGACATAATGTACTGAACTGCTCCTAGCTGTACGCAACTTTATCCCGCTATAAATAACGCTGGGACCGAGGTCTTAATGCTTAAAGCACTTCCTGACTTTGGATGACTTCCGTGGGACATATTCCCAGGAGTGTTATTCACTAGTCACAGTCATATTCCCTCGTTTACACCCACCCCCAGCTCGGTCCTCATCCCGCGACCCCGCACACGCGGCCCGCCCCATTCTCCTCATCCTCTCTGCACGCCTGAATCTCCTCCCTCCGGCCCCCCATCCCCCAAGAGCAGGTCCACTTCCCTCCCGACCCCCTACAGCCTCCCCACACCCGCCAGGCCCGGCAGCAGTGGAGACAAAATACCTTAGCTCTCACTGCCTCACAAAAACACCAGTCTCCCTGTGGCCGCCCAACTTCACGCCGCCGCAGATAAGAAGCTCTGGTCAGTCACCGGAAGCACCGGCCCTCAGTCCTCTGATAGGTGGGCGGTGATATCTGTCCTCTGATAGGTGAGTGGTCCTCTGATGGGCTAGGCAATCTCCTAGATGGCCCCGTCTATTGGTTTCTGAATGTGCACATTAGGAGAGGGTTCATCCCACTGGCCAATAAGCTCTGGCTCTGCCGCATGGATCGCTGGGAGTTGTAGTCCCCATGAAACCACCGCCCGCAAGCCCGCCACATTTTCCCTCCCTTAAGCACTTGAGCTGTTTCCCCACTTCTCCTCGGTTCTCTTGTCTAAGGAGTCCAGGAGCCCTAGGATCAACACGGCTTCTCAACCTTTAAAATCTGATAAAATCTGTCCAGGAAAATGTTCTTATCTGTACACAAAATATTGTGCATTCATCTGAAGTCGCTTCATGGGCCTGTCCCAGCTACAAATCCCTGTTCTACACCCACCCTAAGTGTGCCTGCTCTGGCCACAGCCTGTGGAGTTAGTGCATCCCTTAGGCTTCTTTAGACCAGCTACACGCTTGAAAGACTGGGCCACATCTCGGAGCAGCGCATGAGGAATTCCAGGTCCTGACCTTCACAGTACAGTTGACCATCATCTTTCTTGAACAACACAGCCAGTCCACCTTCAGGGATGCAGACAACCTCATCTGGGAGCTAAGCATCCGGGAGAGTGGGGATGGGGAAATGGAGGAAGAACACCCTTGGGGCTCATTCTGGGCCCGTTTGCCTCGCTTTTCTCCCCATGCCTATCATCTTCCAGTGCCACTTAGCAGAATCATACCTTCACAACAGTTTTTATGTTTTTCTTTTTCTTTTCTTTTCTTTTTTTAAAAAATGAAGATGGCATGCCTGTAATCTCAGCACTTTGGGAGGCGAGGCAGGCGGATAACCTGAGGTCCGGAATTCGAGACCAGTCTGGCCAACATGGTGAAACCCGGTCTCTACTAAAAATTTAAAAATTAGCCGGACGCTGGTAGCTCACGCCTGTAATCCCAGCTACTTGGGAGGCTGAGGCACGAGAATCGCTTGAACCCGGGAGGCGGAGGTTGCAGTGAGCCGAGATTGTGCCACTGCACTCCAGCCTGGCGACAGAGTGAAGGTTCTGTCTCAAAAAAAAAAAAAAAAAAAAAAAAAGAGAGAGAGAGGGACGGTATCTTGCTATGTTACCCAGGCTAGTCTTGAACTCCTGGGCTCAAGCAATCCTCCTGCCTCGGTCTCCCACAGTGTTGAGATTACAGGTGTGAGCCATTGTTCCAAAAATTGATATGCCCGGCCTCACATCAATTTTTGGAACAATGCAGGTAATAACGAGGGGAAAAAAAAAGTTTTAAAAGTCTCAATTACCTTTCAAACAAATACTACCTCCTCCAAAAAATATTTTTCTAGATTCCTGATTGTCTTTTTAGGTGGAGAGGAACTCAAAGTAGAATTCATTTACATATTCATTCATTCATTCCACCGCACTAATCACTCCATGCGGTAACTGTGTGTCCCCATCTCTCTCAGACTTAGTACCTGGAAGACAGCCATCCTGTCTTAATTCAATTGGTATCCCCAGGGCGCATTTCTTTGCCTTGAAAATTGAGTACCCAATAAATGTGCGTCGAGCAAAACTACATGAGATGGCGAACAGGGGTTTAAAGGTATAGGGGAGAGTCAGCAATGACTGGTGTCCTCCCTCCCTCCCCGAGCTCTGCTCCTACAGATCCAGGACGCCTAGCGAGGGTAGGAACCTCTTCGGTGCTTCCGCAACGCTCTGAACAGCACGGCACTGAGCGCATCTAATTAAAGTGATGGTTTCATTAGATAGCAACTCAGCGAGACCCTGTTTCTACAAAAAATAAAAAATTAGCTGGGCGTGGTTGCTCGAGCCTCTAGTCCCAGCTACTTGGGAGACTGAGGCAGAAGGATCATTCGAGCCTAAGAGTTCGAGGTTGCTGTGAGCTATGATCGCGCCACTGGGCTCCAGCCTGTGCGACAGAGCAAGATCCTCTCTCTCTAAAAAAAAAAAACACAAAAATAAAATAATGGTTTAATTGCCGGCCTTTGCCCCTTCTGTCCCCCACCCCCCACAAGTCTGTAGGACGGGTTGACTTCCCAGAGCTTAGTACAGATTAGATGCTAAATAAATGTGTATTGGACGGATGGGCGAATGAATGGATGGATGGAGGATGTGGTTGTGCTTACCATGCTCCCCGGTCAGTGGGTTAATGTCGTCAGGCGGGGCCAGGCTAGCTAACAGCCGGGTGGGGTCCCTTCCCCCGGGCCCCGCCCCGGCCGACCCCACCTTTCCGCGCGGCTCCGCCCCGCCGCCCCCTTCCCAGTGGCCCCTCCCCGCGCAGGTCCCGACTCCAGCCGCACCTCCTCTGGCTCTGCAGTGGCGGCGGGGAGGCGAGCCGGAGCGACTGCGGGGCCGGGACCGGAGCAGAGCCGGGGTCGGGCAGCAGCAGGGACCCCCGGAGGCGGGGCCTGTGGGACCGCTATGGGCGTGGAGATCGAGACCATCTCCCCCGGAGACGGTACCGGGCTCCCTCCGGAGCCGGGGGAGGGGAGGGGTCCCCGGGCGGAGCCCAGAGGGCGGGGGTCTGATTCGGAGGTGGCGCGGAGGGTGCTGAAGGGTCGGGGGGCTGGATGGGGAGGGCAGGCAGAGATCCCGGACGGGATTCTTGGGGGTCTAGGAGACCATCCTCCACCATCCTCTTCCGCGACTCACCTAGGGGAATGTAGGTGGCAGCCTGGAGGCGGGGGTCTGCGGCCCGGAGCCGGGGGTCTGCGGCCCACCACCCCGGGCTGCTCCTGTCGCCGCTGCTACCGCTCGGTTATCCGCTGCTGCTGATACCCCAGGCTGGGTTTCGGCTTAGATTTCCCTGCCCTGCTCGGCGAGCTCTGGAAAGCAGGACCTGCTCTCGGGTCTACGCTGCTCCGGGACCTCCTCCTAGCGCGTCCCCCGCCGGGCCTCCCGTCGGTCGCTTCCCTGTGGGCCGGGCTGTGAGCGGCTGTGGGGACAGACCCAGGCTGGGAAAGGGGGAAGCGCTCCCTTGCCGGCTTCCGGATCTCGCTTTATCCTCCCGCCGCGTTCAGACTCCCTGGCCACCCTGTCCACTCCCATGGCCTCCACACTGAAGCTTCTAAGCCCAGCCCTGCGACCTGCGGCCGAACTTCTCCCTGGAGGTCCCAAGATGCTCCCTAATCAGCAAGTCCAAAACAGAACTCGCGCTTCCCACCTTCTCCCCTAAGTGATCCTCCTTATCCCCCTTCCTTGTCTCACTTTCCCAAGCCCTTGTATTACTGGGTCTGGGTGTGCAAGGAATAGCCATTTCTTTATTTCTTGAAATTTAATTCATACCAAAGCTCCCATTGTCTGCAGGGTTTGATGAGCAAACTTCATACAGATATTATTAATATGAACAGCTCCCCTCCCCAGGAAATTGGAGAACTTCTTGGCTCCAGGCCATGTTCCTTGTCCAATCCCAACCACTACTTCGGATATCCCCTGGGGTACAGAATTCTTTGCCCACGCAGGAAACCTTGATGCTGGGT